TGAGACCTTCATCCTTTTTGTTGCAATAGATATTCTCACAAAGAAAGATGTGATTAGAAAAAGAGGTTAAATGAAAATAATTACAATACTCACCATTTATTGCCCTGCTCAGAGAACTGACTCTGGAAAACTCTTTTTATGCTCAAAGGCCACTTCGTAGGGTCCTTGTATAATATTTATTTTGCTAATTTGTGAAGGTCTATGATCTTTCCTCTAGCAGTCAATAAAATAAACTATGCCTTTTCCTTCTTTCTAAACTCATAAAATGTCATGGAAGGCAGTGGGGAATCACACTTTAGCATGTGACAGTTCTCCTCCAGCCAATATCAGAGGTAACTGGGAGTATGTTTCCCACCCCAGCAACCCACAACACTACCACGAAACATCTGAAAACACATGTGCATCCACAGTAATATAATAAAATAAAATAAATCTTTGAGAATTAACTGTAACCATAACAACACAGCTGTCTTGCTGCTTTGCAAAATTAGCTGCACAGTCAAAGAAAGCCAATAATCCTCAGGCCAAGCTCCATATTTAAACAGTTAAATTCCTCATGAACTCAAGCTTTATCTTTTTTAGCTCACTAAAGGATTCAGGTGATTGTCTGGGAGTCTCTAAACTGGAAAACTGGAGACTGTCATGCACAGCAGTTATTAAAGTTTGCATATTCATGCATTTTGAGACTTTATTTCAAAGCTTTTTTTTGTTGGTAATGTTTTGTCATAGTCTCTAATAATCTTGATGGTTTTATTGAAAACAAGAAAGCCAGGATTTATATGTCAGTCTCCTTTTTTTCTGAAATTGGTAACATTCAGTATATGAAAATTGACTAGTCATCATTTCCGTTTTTGAATTTTTACATCTCAAACAAGTCAATGCACAATGCAAACGAGGCAAAAACTTACGACAAGTCCTGATTTTTTTTTGGCGCACAATATTCCACAAATGCCACAAAGAAGAAACTGCAAAGGAAAACAAGAACAATTATTCCATATTCGAAGACAGGAGAACCCCTAGATTTTAGTTTATATTAGTTTGCTCATAACACTGCTTCAGGGAAGCTAGAAAATGCAAAATTCTCCTCAAAATTTGGAAAGAAAAATATCTCATTCTAGAATATTAAAGGGTATAAATTTAAACTCTAATGAAAATTTATTTTTTGCAAGGTTGATGGAATTAACTATAGGTTTAAGCAAAACTTAAAGTTAGGTTTAAATTCAGGCAAAATTATGAAGTAAACAAATTTAGAGTTTTGTTCCTCCTATTTCCTTTCAATGTTTTCTTATTCCTTCCTATACTTTTTATCCCTTTTCAGGGAGAAAAGTGGTGTGATATATTTATTCATCCTAAGCAATAGAACTCAATGGGTTATACTACAGGAAGAATCTAGCAAAAATAAAAAGACAGGGCAACAGACATGGAGGTGTTTCTCTTTAGAGACATTCTTTCTCCCTCTCAAACTGATGCAATGGCCACCTTCTCGTTCTCCCAGAAAGACTGTCCTTGTGGTTATGTCAGAAGAGCTCAAGGGGATGAAGCGATTGATGGCATGTATTTTCTTGTAAATGGAAACATTGGTGACATCATTGCTTTGCAAAAGCAGCCACATCAAATCATCTACCAATGCCAAACTATTAGACATTTTGGTTATCATTAAATGGGAAATAGTTTAATTTGGGTAGAAACATATAGGGCCATTTGGCAAATTTTCACATACTTCTAACTTGAGCTAAACCATATACATAAAACAATAAATTTATAATAAGTAATAAGTTCACTAAAGGGCTTCATGTTTGCATAGAAAACTTTGATTTTCAAAGAAAACTTGTTTTCATTTGATTTTTAACAAAAATTTTGCTATCTTAAGTCAGAACTAATAATATGACTAGTTTCAACTTAATATTTCATGCCTGGATAGATGTTTAAAAAATGCATATAAAAATATTTTACAGGATTATCTGAGATAATATGAATGTAAAAAGCACCAGAAACATTTGCTAAAAATAATGAGTAAGGGCAGTTGTTGTAAGGAAACTTTCCCTATAAAGGAACAAAATGATTATCAAGCAGGCAGTGGTGCAGCAAGACAGATTAGAGAACACAGGATATATAAGCATTTGGTATACAATTTGGATGACTTTTCAAATTAATGGGGAAAGTATCAGGATTATTTATTTTATAAATGGAATTACAATAACTTGTTAACCTTCCCCAACATCATACACCAAAATTAATATGAAACAGTTTGAGTATTTAAATATATAAAAATTATAAGTGCATTGGGAGATAACAAAGTTAAATACTTATATAATTTTAGAGGAGTGGGAAGGATTTTCTAAAAATAGCCCCAAAATCATAGACCAAAAAAGAAAGTGCTTATAAATATTAATAGAAAAAATTATAATTTTGATAGTCAAAAATATTATGACACTCAAAGGCAAAAAATAAATTGGGATTATATTCAGAAAGTATGTGACAGACAAAGGGTTAACACACTATAAATAGAACTAATAAAATATTTTTAGGGCTTTAACAACATGAGAAAATAGAATCTCAGAACTTTATAAAACCTGGACACTTGCATCATTTTCAGAAGGTTTAAAGAGCTATTTCAGAGACACCATCCAATAGGTCTAGGCCACCTACACCTAGACCACCCAATGTGTGCCAGGTGTAGGTGGCCATCCTCTTATGGACTCCTTGTTATTGATCCCATCTCACATCTTTCAAGGCCATATTCAAGAAATTCCAGTTTGGATAATTCTGTACCTCTCAGTGCTTCAAGCTTCAGATCAAAGCCCAAGCATGTCCTTCTCCTTAAGTTTCCATGAATAGCCCATTATTCAACCTGAAAGTCCATTCACTCAGAACTCATTCTTGAAATAATTTGAAAGCTGTGTAGTTTTGTGTTCCTTGGATCTGTTTTGAAATCTATAAACATTGCCATTATTTATTTATAGTAAAGCCCATGGAGGACTTTAGGAGTATAAGGAGGGTTCTCTGTCCCAGCCACTTGGTTGGACCATCAAGGTGACAATGAAATTGCTGCTTCCTATTATCTCACTTCACTTGGATGGAGCTCAGAAATGAGAGTTCAGGTCTTGGGAGAGGGAAGGAAGAGTAGGAGAGGAATCAAGCAATATTTTCCCACGCTCCCTCAGGCCTGGAGTATAAATGCTCTCCAATAATTACTTCTGTTAGAGTATCCAAAATCACATTCCTTAGAGGAAACCTGTAATCTGAGAAAAAAAAAATAAACACATGTAACAGGAAGTATATAAAATCATGGAATTTCTGAAGAGGATCAAAGATCGTGGCTGAAATTTAGCCATCTCAGTGTACAGAAGAGAAAAAGAGGCCCCCAAAAGTAGTGCACTGATCTTTTATTTCATTGGCTATCTTTATTTACCCCAAATCATAGTACTGGAAGGAATCTTAGAAGATGATTTAATTTAGCCCTTGTGTTTTACATGTGGGGACATGGGGAACTATAGGTCCAAATGGGTTTAGCAACTTACTCAAGGTCACACATCGAGGTTAGAAATCACACATATAATTTAAGGCTTTATTAAGTGTTTAAGTTAATTTGGTTCTAACAATGTAATGGAAATGCTTTTCGAAAGTATTTTTCAGTGCTAGTATAGTGTGCCTTGTATTAGCAAATCCAACCAGAAGTGTTCAATGAATACCTGCTCAACTGTAACTGCCCTCTTTGCAGTTACCATTGTTAATTTTTGATATAATAAAAATAATTAGAAAATTAGTCACTTGTGTTACATTCTAAAACTAAATGTACCTCATTTTATGCAGGAATTTGCTATGCTATTTCAAAGTATTTTTTGCTCAACATAACTTATCCAGGGTGCATTTATCCACATTATAGAAATTATGAAGCAAGTAAAAAACAAATTAGCTTAAAAAAGCAAAGCTAATAACTTGCGTGTGTGTGTGTGTGTGTGTGTGTGTGTGTGTGTAGCCTGAACAATTTTATGTGAGAATATATAATTTATGGGCTGCTTAAATCTAAGGAAGGTTATTTGCTTTGCTCCCACTATGAAACAATATAAATGTAGCAATCCAATGATAGGACATCAAGTGCTACACTACGAAATAAAGATAGCCCTCCAAGTGAAATTCATTTGGTTCCAGTTTAGACTGTATTAAATAGATAACTAAGGTTGTGACTCGTTGGATGAAATGAAGGTATTATGAAAATAGTATTCTAGATTTTAAGTAGATTTTCTCTATGAAAGGTCTTTAGAGGTTTCTGTTTTTAAGTCTGACAGAAACTGTGTCACCTGTTGCAGATCATGGGCGGAAGAGACAATGGTTTTCACACAAGTGAGAGTTTGTAGGGGGTGGGTGCATGTTGGGGTGGGGGCCTGCAAAGCCCTGCTATTTCCTTCCACCTTCTCTTTTATGAAGCAAAAGCCTTAACCCCCTGGCAGAGGGGTAGCAAAGCCTGCCATTTCCTGGGTCTATGCAGATATATATCACTACTGTAAGTGAAGGAAAAGTGGAAGAAAATTTCTTTACACAGGGAGAGAGGCAGGAATTCATCTTAGCCTTGACATCCTATGCCTGTACTAAGTAGAGGTCCTGCTCAAGACCAGCTGCAGATACTAGGCTGAGTTTGGCTGTCACAAGGAGGAAGGTGCAAAATACTAAGAAAGTCCCACGCCTGAGGCCAGGTGCACAGGCCCTTCCTCAGCTGAGACTGATCCAGAGCAGTAAAGAATCTTCTCCTTCACGCCTTCTCACCCTTCACCATGAGCGTAGCAGGTAGGAGTAACAAGTGACAGCAATCTAGCAATGAGGGAGAGGTGAGAGGTGGGAGGAGACCCCCTCTGTGATGGAGGTGAGTGGGGACGCAAGCTGAGGGTGGGGTACTAACCTTGAGCAAAATCTTCTGGCACCTCAGCTCCTACCTGGAGCACAAGGCAGCCACAAGCCACCACTAGAGGAATGTGAAGCTATGGTGGACCAAAGATAATCACAGCAAGAACAAAATTTAATTACTCACTGGAATGACTCCACCAATCACACTGGCAACCTAAAAGAAGCTATTAACATAAAATATTTACACAATTCTGGAAAAAAAATACTTTTGAACTTTGAGCTGTACATCCAGCTAAACTCTCATTCAAATAAGAGATTATGAGAAAGATACGTTCTTTTGGCCAAGGGCATGGTGGTACTGAATTATGGCCTGCTAAAGACATTCATGTTCTATTATCAGAACCTGTAAATGTCACTTTATATGGAAAAAAGAAAGGCTTTGATTAAAAGTCTTGAGATGGGGAGATTATTGTGAGTTATCAAGGGATGCCTTAAATGTGATCACGAGTGTCCTGTAAGAGGGAGGCAAGGTCAGAAGAGACAGAAGCCTATGTGTCCTCAGAAACAAAGGGGCCGAGAGAACAGAGTTGACGATGCTACTCTGCTGGCTTTGAAAAGAAGCAAGGGATGAGGCCAGGGATGTAAGCGGCCTGGGTAAGCTGGAGAGGTCAAGGAAATTGATTCTACCTGGAGCCTGCAGGAAGAAGGCATCTCTGAAAACCCATTTAGACTTCTGGCCTCTACAACTGTGAGTGAATAAATTTCTGTTGTTTTAAGCCACTGAATTAATGGTAATTTGTTACAGAAACAATAGGAAACTAATATAGGCTCTAAAACATTATTCCGCATGAAACTCTGAAAGAATTACTAGAAGCTGTTCTTTAGGACAACAAATAGAGGAAGATATGAGATAAGAAAGGAATGTAGTAACAAAAGCACAAAATAAAACAAAACAGTAAAATATGAGACAATATTGATGGATCAAATTAATATTTGTTTATAGTGAATATCTCAGTTGATTCTGGCATGAGATATGGTGTATTGGGAGTAAAGAACATGTAAGTAACATGTTCTAAGATTCCTGTATACTTGAGCAGAATAATTCAGGTCCTAACTAGTTCTA